ATTTTTATTATTATTTCGTTATTTATTTTTATTATTATTTTATTTTTATTATTATTTCGTTATTTATTTTTATTATTATTTTATTTTTATTATTATTTCGTTATTTATTTTTATTATTATTTTATTTTTATTATTATGTTATTTTTATTATTATTTTATTTTTATTATTATTTTATTATTATTTTTTTTATTAAATTTTACGTTTAATTTTAATATTAAATTATTATTTTAATTATTATTTTTATTTTTTAATATTAATTTTAAATTATTTTAAATTATTCGTTATATTTTTTAAATTTCGTTTTATAATTTAATTTTATATTAATTTTATTTTTTATTATTTCGTTATTAAAAACTTTTATACGTTTTATATAATTTTTAATTATTATTAAATTTTTATATTTAATTAATATAATTAAAAAAAGTTTAAATTTTTTTAAAATTCCGGTATTTTTATACTTTAAAAAAATAAAAAATAAAATTAATTTAAAATATAAATATATTAAAATTAATAACTTTTAATTTTTTAAATTCGTTTATTAAAAAAATACCGAAATTAATTATTCGTTTATTAAGTTTTTTAATACGATAAAATTTTAAAACTTTTAAAAAAAAAATCTTTTTTATTTTTACGTTAATTATTTTTATCGTATATATAATATATTATATTTAAACGTACGGTTTTATTTTTAAGTATATTTTTATAAATATATTTCGATTTAACGTTAATTCGTTAAATTTTTATATACGTTTCGTTTTTATATATTTATTTAAAAACTTTTTTATAAAACTTTTTAATTAAAAATAAAAGAAAAACCTTATAATAATTAAAATAAAAAACTTTTAAATAATTTTTTTTCTTTAATATTTTTTTTAGTTTTTACATTATATTTTATTTTTTTAAAATTGTAAATAAGAAATTTATATTTTATTATATAAGTTTAAAATTATATTAAAAAACTTTCCGATTTTATTAATTAAAAGGAATTTTCGGTAAATAAATAATGTTTTTTAAAAAGTATTAATTATTTACGATATTAAATTATTAATATTACGTAGTAATTTCGTTTATTATCCGCCGATTTAATCGAATAAAAAATAAATATAAAACGGCATTAAACTTTTCCGTTTTATTAAAAAAAGATTTTTAAAATAAATACGGTTTTTTATTTCTTTTTTTATTCGTTAATATAAGTTACGTTATAATATACGATAAAATCGGTAACGATAATTTTAATAATTTCGTTAGTTTTATTTTTAAAATATTTAACCTTAAAAAAAAGCGAAAACGAATTAATAACGTACCGGGATAAATAATACTTTTAATTTATTATTAAATATTAAAGTTTAATTTTATTAAAATTTAAAAAGCTTTTTAAAAATTAAAATTTAATAATAATTAAAAAAATTAAACTTTTTCTTTTACGCGGAAAATTATTATAATAAAAACGAATTAAACGTTAAATTATTACGTTATATTATTTTTAAAAAAAATTATAATTTTATATATAATAATAACTTTAATAATTATAATTTTAATTATAATTTTAATTTTAATTTTCATTTAAATTTTAAATTATATTATTTAAATTATAATTATAATAATTATAAAAATAATAATTATAATTTTTACATTTTATTTTACATTTTATTTTTAATTTAATAATTTTAATACGTATTATTTATTTTATTATAATAAAATTAATTAAACTTATTTCGTATTAAATTAATTATATAATAATATTTTATTAAAAAATAAAAAATATTTTGAAAGTTTTTTTATAATAATAATTATTTTCCGCATTAATAACTTTTATAATTACTTTTTAATTATTTTTAATACTTTTTTATTATTATTATTAATTTAATTTAATTTATTTTTAATGTTTATTATTTAAATAATATTATATTTTTTATTATTATTTTTATTAAAGTTTTTTTTTAATTTAAAATTTATATTTTTTATATTATTTTTATCGTTATTAATTATAAAATTAATTACATTTACCGTAATAATTAATTAAATATTTAATTTCAAAGTTTTTATATTTATTTTAATAATATTTAATATTTTTAAATTTATTTTTAATTAAATATTTATTTTTAAACGTTTTTTAATTAATTTCGATTTTAATTTTAAAAGTTTTATGTTTTTTATTTAATTAATATATTTATTTTTAAATAAAGAAATTAAATATATTATTAAATAAATTATAATAATTTTAAAAATATTAAAAAATATAATAAATAATTTAAAAAATAACGAATTAATAAATAAAATTTACGAAATAATTCGTATTAATATTATAATAAACGATTAATGCGAAAAATTTAAAAATTAAATTATTAAAAATGTAAAAATATTTTATTTTAATTTAAAAAATATTATTATAAGTTTTAATAACGTTATAATTTTTTAAAAAAAACTTATTAACGTTATATATATTTATTTATTAATTATATTTACTTTTAAAAATT